TCAGTGTGAACACCGTTCCTATCAGTGTGAAAGCCATGGCACTGGCGCCGGCCACGACGCAAGCGCTACAGGCGGCGACAAGCACGGTCAGTACGTCCTCGAGCCGAACGGGGGAGAAGGTGTACTGGTCGGTGACGGGGGTGGAGGGGACGAAGCTGCGGGTTAGCAGCTTGCAAGTGGGAGAGGGTGGCAAGCTGGCGGCTCCAGAGCGGCCGGTGCGGGCATGTTTTGAGGTGTGTGGTGCGCAGCCGGTGGTAGTGAGGGAGGCGAAAGTATTAGGCCCCATGGGTGTGGCGAAAACGAAACTGATGATGGTGACTAAGTTGTTCGACGGCGGTGGGCTGGTCCCGCTGCGTGGAATACGGCTTGCGATATCAAAAGTAACGGGGGTCTCCAGGAGACAAGGCGAGTGGGAAGAGGTGTGGGGAAGAAAGATCGACTGGAAGGCTGTGATTGATGTAAGGGACTCTCTGGTGGTTCCTCTAAAGGCGCGTGATGTGCTGCTCAGAGCACACAGCATGAACCTGCAGGTGGGAGGGAGGCTGGATTTCATGAGGAACAGCATCGACTGTCCGCACTGTGGAGGCTATGAAACCCTAGACCATTGCCTCTTCAATTGTCCGATGATTCAACCAATCATCGGCGCGCTGGTGAGGTCGCTGGAGCTCATGAACCCGGGCAGGAGGGCAAACTCGATCGAGGATTTGCTGTTTGAGAAGGGGGGTACCGTGTCCGGTTTCCCGGAGATGACGCTGGTGTCAACAGTGCTTCGTCAAGTGTGGTGGGCTCGCTGTGATGCTGCATGGCGGGCAGTCCCTTTCGAAAGAAAGAAAGTGGGCCGTGTCGCGGTGGTAAGTTTCATGACGCATGCGCGGGTCGTGCTGGCTGCGAGAGCAAGGGAGGCGGCGAAGCGAGGGGAGAAAAGAGGTGGAGGATATGACGCGTGGAGCCAGGTGGCGGGTGATGAGAGGAGTGCGCTGAAGGAGATCTGCTCGGCGGAAGGCCCCACCAGGTGGACAGACTCTTTCATGTCCATCTGGCGGGACCCACAAACAATCTATCAACCCCCGTAGATGCTATAGGGGGGATGGTTTCAGCCCCGATGAGCTGGGTCCTAGCCTCCCAAGTCTACAGTTACGACTACGGATATTTGTATGTCTGCATTAATATACTTACATATAAAAAAAAAAAAAAAAAAAAAAAAAAAAAAAAAAAAAAAAAAAAAAAAAAAAAACGTGTGAACACCGTTGCATGGGCGACCAGTGCGGGGACCCGTGCGAATGATATAGGGGCAGCGAACATGACCCCCAGACGCCCCACGCTGAGCATACCAGTCACGAAGCTGCTGAGTCGTGGGGGTCTCACGCTGGCTCTGCTGCTGCTGCTGCTGCTGCTGCTGTCCCTGGCCACCACCGGAGCTCCCCTTCTAGCCGGATCCACTCCAGCCCCCACCACCGCTGCCACCACCGCTCCCTCCTCCCCCACTACCGCCGCTGCCACCTCCACCGCTCCCAGTGCCACCGCTGCCCCCACCACCACCTCCACCCCCACGACCACCCCCACCACCTCCACCTCCCCCGCCGCCTCCACCACCGCCCCCTCCACCGCCACCCCCACCTCCCCTGCCACCCTTGCCGCCCCTGGCGCTGCGGCGCTTCCCACTAGGAGCGGAAGCAGCCCTGACCTCCTCAGCACCAAGGTAGTCGAGAGCAGCAGCAGCGGAGGCATAGGAGGGGGCAAGAGGGGAGGGGGAGCATCCCTCAAAGAGGGGAGTGCGAGGAGTGCCACGAGCAGCACCTACAGCGAGAATGTTCTTTTCGGCTGCTAGGAGGTGCTTCTCGAAGTCGTCGACAGTGAGAGTGGTAGGGTCTAGCGCGAGAAAGTGGTCCCTGGCGGAGCGAAGAGTGTCAGGGAGGCGGGTAACGAGGAAGTAGAGAGTAAAGTACATCGGTGGTTGATTCTAGGCGAGGAACTCGTCTGAGAGGGCAGTACAAAAGCGAGCGTTGCTAGTGCGCAGGTGAGAGATGAGGTCCTCAGCAGTGGTAAACGAGGACAGGTCGGGGAACAGGTAGGGTAGCATAAGGCGACCTAGGGCTGCAGTGGCCGGGGAAGAGTAGCGGGCAACTACAGCGTCATACAGTGCCTTAGCAGTCTTGTGCTGGCTAAAATGCGCGCGCTCTGTGATCGGCAGATGGTTGCGAATAGCGAGGCGGTCGAGAGCGGTAGCAGTGTCAGCTGGAGCAACGGCAGTGCCAGACGCGTGATCGAACAGTGAAACACCGTCCTTGGCATCAGTCATATGAAACAGTTGCAGGTCGTCGAGCCAGGTGGTAAACTATATCGGGCGACCGTCAGGATCGAAAGCAAGAACGTTGAGCGTCGCCTTGATTGCAGCGCAGGCAAGAGTAGCGCGCATGCGGTAAGGCAGAGTGCAGACCAGGAGAAGCTGCGTGCAAGGCTGCAGTGGCGGCGCACGAGCTGCTGGGGCGGCGCGCAAGTGGCTAGGGCGGCGCACGGGGCAGCAGCGGGCCGCGCGCGGGCTCCTAAGGCGGCGCGCGGGGCAGTAGCGGGCCGCGCGCGGGCTCCTAAGGCGGCGCGCGGGGCAGCAGCGGGCCGCGCGCTGGCTCCTAAGGCGGCGCACGGGGCAGCTGCAGGCTGCGCGACCGGCGGACGCGACGCGCGGGGCAGCAGCGGGCTGCGCGGGCGGCGGACGCGGCGCGCGGGGCAGCAGCGGGCTGCGCGCGGGCGGCGGACGCGACGCGCGGGGCAGCAGCGGGCTGCGCGGGCGGCGGACGCGGCGCGCGGGGCAGCAGCGGGCTGCGCGGGCGGCGGACGCGGCGCGCGGGGCAGCAGCGGGCTGCGCGGGCAGCTAGAGTGGCGCGCGCGGAAAAAAAAGGCAGCGCTGCGGGCAGCGCAGCGCAGGCAAGGCAGGGCACGCGCGTGAGGCGCAGCGCAGGCAAGGCAGGCAAGGCAGGTGGGGCAGCGTGGTAACCGCAACGGTAGGTGGGCCCGAAGTAAGACCGTCCTACGGACCTATTGCTCTGATACCATGTTAGAATCCCAACCACTAGACCATTGGGATAAAAGGGCTTGTTAAGTAGCGGGTCAGTGCGCTCATAACCCCCCTGGACAACGAACCTGTAACCCTTCCCTAGGATCAATCGGGGATCACCAGTGGACCTCTGACACCCCCCCCGCACTGGGATGCCCGAAGTGCACATACTGGGATTCGAACCCGAGACCTTCGCTCTAATACCATGTCCGAAATGCTAGGCAGGAATGAATGCACTAGGAAAGTGTTGGGTACAAGTATGAAACCCTAAAAGGGGCTGTACCCCATATTGGCTACCCCACTACAGCCTAAACATATATAGCATACATATAATTTGACAAGCTTGCCACTTTCGCAGATTGAAACGAAAATCACAGACGCAGCCAAGTAGTGCGTGAGAAGGCGTGCCATAGCACCAGTACTACCGTATTCTCCCGGACATAACACCCAGGGGTATTATGATAACCACAGGGAAAAAAGGGGGGGGTCCTCTCAACGGAAAATCCTATATAATACCCGGGTGGTTACATATGGCATATTTTAGTGTAAGAGTATTTTGAAATTAGGCAATTTGGGTGTTTCAATGGTCGTCTTAACATCATAGTTTGAGGCGAGAATGTGAGTTTCACCTCTCGGGCCACTTGCAGCGGAAGATTCGCCAGCGTGGCGACAGCAAGATTGTGGGAGGGGGGAAATGTCCACTTGCAGCGAAAGATTCGCCAGCGTGGCGACAGCGAGATTGAGGGAGGGGGGAAATGTCGGCAGATTCTAAGTGAAAGTTCACGCAAAATTTCATTTAGGAAGCATCCTCGCGATATTCTCCCGTAAGGAATCTGACTCGATAACAGCTATAATAGGAATCTCTAAGAAAAGGGGGGTGTTATAGAAAATCACCCAAAAAGGGGGGGTATAGTACAAACGAGGTCAGCTATAGCACCCCCCCCCGCACAAGCTACCCGGGGGTGTACTATTACGGGGGGGTGTTTTGTCTGGGAGAATACGGTACTACTCTGCCGCCAAAGCCTCTAAAAATAGGAGCCTCCTAGGCCGTCGCGGACGAAACAAGCGTGAGTCAAAGCGCTCAAACGGCTAGATCTGCGTTAACGGTTAGAACCGTGATCGACACTAGCACGCCGCTCTTTTATCCTTGGAGTATAGGCATCGGTGTCACCCCGCGCCATTGACACACCGCGAAGGCCAAGTCACCAGCAGTTGTTTGGGGCGCTTCTTGCCACGTAGTTGGCACAGCCTGCGCGGCTTGGCTGGGTATCGTTGACTTTTGACAAAAATCGCTAACGTTGCTTAACGAAGGCAGTGTGATTTGTCGATAGCCTCTATTGCAAACTAATATGCCAGATGCGGATTTTTGGGATGCTGGGCGGCATGAGGATGAGCTTCAAGTCAATCACGCGAGCTGTGTGCAAGTGAAAGCTCATCGACAGACACCTTTCTAGAGGCAACCGTTGTCACGTCCGCTGTGAAAGCTCATCGCCTGACATGACACTTTAGATCCAACCGATGCCATGATGCTGTTCAGTGGGATCCCGTCATCACCAGGCTGTAAACAAATCAGTCAACGCCCTTGATGATAATTGTCGCATCATGGCGCCCATCTGACCCCACAATGCTCCCGTGGTTTCTACTAGGCGCTACCACGCCCGATTCTCGGAATTTTGTATATAGCTGTTGCTCGTTTGAGTCCCCCATACTCGCCTTGAGTTTTGGGTCTATAAGTGATTTTGGCATTTCGGGGGTTTTCGCGCACTTCGCCTCGGTCATTGTGGGCTTATAAAAAACAGTGGTAACATGTGTTTGTTCTTTCCCAAACAGTGCAAGGGTTGCTTAGATTGTTGGTTATGTGTTGCACGTTTTACCAATTTGTTTTCTCATTTCAATAGCACCCGATTACATAAACTCACACAAAATGTCACAAACATGCAACTCGTTCTCACAGGCCAATACGCGCCTTACAACTGCGCACATGGAACACCAACATCGCGCTACTAACAAAGCACACATGTGCACAAGATGTGCACAGAGGAGAGTCGTTCTCCTCTGAGGGGTGACCCACCCCTTCACATACGCATCCATTCCGTCGTCCATGACGGCGTTAACTCCAGCGTCTTGAAGCATGCGGCGGGTGGGGGTAGGCGCCGTCATCCACGCAGGCAAAACACGTCCGTGCCGACGCGGAGTCTCTGCCTGCGTGGAAGCGGCAGGCGGGGACACGACAAGCGCGGGAGCAGGAGGCGGAGTCACGTTCAAGTTGATCGGGGGGCTTGCGCGCTCCATGCGATCGATGATGATGGGGTTCCGGGTCTCAAAAAGCGCGCACAGGTCGCGCGGGGTGATGCTGGTGGCCCGTGCGTAGCCAATGAGTATCTCGCACGCCGCCCTTGCAGTGCGCCTCGCTTCCCCACAACACTCGTTATCGACCTCGATGAGGAGATAGGCGACGTCGGCATTCTTCGCCGGGTTGTCGTCGTCGTACGCAGCCTGCATGGTGGCGGGCGCCTCCCATGACTCGCCCAAATACGCCGTCCAGAGCTCAATCTCGAGAGGATCTTCGCTTGGCTCGACGCATGTCGGCTGGTTGTCGTCAATGGCGACAAACTCGACGGCCGGCATTACGCTGGGCCCGAGGCCAAGGCGGTCCACAAGAATGCCGACGTCGCCTATCTCCTTATCGAGGTCGAAAACGAGTGTGGCATTCCCGCCATTGCCGCCACCGCCGGCATTGGCGCCAGCTGCGCCCACGTGCACCAAGTCCATGGCCTACGAGCGCGGGAGGCACCCCGTGCGCCACCAGCAACGCTGGATGGTGCGCACGGGGATGTTCATCCATGCTTCCAAGAGCCATTCGAGCACGTCGTGCAGATTCGGCCTGAATCGCGCCATGGCGGTCGTGGCGGTCGTGGCGACAAGGCCGTGAACGCACGGAACCAATGCTGGCGGTAGCGGGCCTTCGTCCTGGCGATCAGGCCTTGGTCGAGCGGCTGTGTGAAGCAAGTCGTGTTCGGCGACAGGAAGACGAGGCGAATGTTGCTGAGGGAGCGGGTGTGAAAGCCGAAAATGTCTTCCGCGGTTGCGTGCTCGCTCTTGAGCACGTGGCTATTGGCGTTGTCCAGGAGTATCACGATGTGGCGGTCTTTGGCATACATGGCGTCGTTGAGCTGTTCGATGAAGTGAGTGAATAACTGCCAAAGGGGAGGGCTGGTATAAGAACAAAGGATCAGTGAGTGTGGACGACGATGATAGTTTAAAAAGAACATATTGCGCTGATATAAAAAACAATGAAGTATCCGTTGATATAAAAAATAATGAATGATGATTCACTTACCGGAGCCGTCATCCAGCCCTTGGCGTTCTTACGCCAATAGCAAGGAGAGTTGGGGTCGTAATCAGGAAGGAAATACCGCGGGCGCTTCGCTTTGGAGATGATCAGCGGGTGGAACGCGTGACTTCCGTCCGCGTTCACAAGAAGGCCGACCGTGAGGCGTTCTTTCGCCACCTTGCGGCCCACCACACGCCCACTGCCGTACGTCTTGCGCGGCAGGACCGACTGGAAGAGTGCGGTCTCGTCGAAGTTATAAAGGTCACGGGGACGGACAGAGAGGTGCATCAACAGCTGTGGGAGCTTCTCCTTGCACGTACGGACCGCCGCAAGATCCTGATCGGCGGCTTAGCCAATTGCGCTGATGCAATGAATGCCGTGGCGACGCATGGCGCGATGAACCCACCCCATTGAGCAGCGGAATGTGGCGGATTTTTCCCATGTCGCGGGCGAGTTGCGACGTGGTCCCGGATCGTCGCAAGGGTGAGGGGGACACCCGCAGGACCTGCGTTGCGGATCCAACGCACCATTGCCTGCTCCAGGTCTAGGTGTGCACCGCCACGGATGCGGATGGTGTTGTTGCCCTATGTCGCGGTGGTCCAACGTTATGCTCCTTTCAGAACGCGGCCGATGGTAGAGCGATCAAGGCGGAGTCCGTAACGGGTAAAGCACCAACGCGCCATGTCGACCTGGCGCAGGCGCGGGTTGTCGACATGCTGTGCGCAAATAGCATTTTTAATATGCACGGGGAGCTACGAGCGGCGGAAGAGGCAAGGCATGGCTTGAGTTTTCACTTGTGAGTGACTGTGACTTACTTGCTAGTGCGGTCGTCTTTTTATCCTCGCTCCATGGTCCACGATGCATGAGTTCAACATTGTGCATCGTTCTTACGAGAGGAATTGTTGTGGCAACATTTCTCGAGTGAATGTTGCCACAATTGCGCATGTAACAGACACGGGTAACCAACGCCACAGAGGGTGACGTGTGCTTAATGAACACAAGGCCGTACAGCGTGTTCATATCCAACACTAGCAACCTACACGTGGCGAAATGTTGGCGCGCCTTGTGCGTTTGGTGCACAATGCGCCGCAACGACGTGGCGTACAGACACATGCGAAAATGTGTGTGACGTCAAATTCGCATCGTCCACCGTTTTCGCGATGCCTGTCCCTGGCCTAGGAACCAGGAGTACCAGGGGCGACGTCCTTTGTCTTGGTGCACATGTGTTGATTTTGTCAACCTGCCACCCACCCACAAGTGGGTCGGGGGGTCCATAAGCTGGGAGCAACTGCCCGGCCCCAAAAAATGTGGGCAGGCTTTCTAGAACGGGCAGGGCAAATTCGCGGGCAGCAGTTGAGCATCATTTGTACAATTGTGCAATAAAAAAATACTACAGTATTTGCTGGTTCAGTGGGAGTGAGAACCTGGTTCAGTGGGAGTGAGAACCTGGTCATTTATAGGGTTCATGATAGAGGTTCCATTTATAGGATAGGAAAGACAAACATATTTCTCCGTTTACAAGATGGAATTGTCCATAACTTGTCCTCCTCTTAGCACTATTATCCATGCCAGGATTAACGTCAACCCTCCGTAGGGGATGAAAAGAAATGGAGAAATTTACAATTGAAACCGTCGATTCGATCACAAAAACAAAAGCAAAAACATGCAAGCAAAAAACATTCTGCTGTTAGCTTTGCACATGTTACTAGGAAGGGAGGGGGGGAAGAGGGCATGAACACATGTGACATCACCCCAGCAGTCTCAGACCCATTCTTCCCAGATTTACTGACTGTACACGTATTTGTAACACTGTGTTGTGAACGTCACGCCAGCACAGTCCGTTACACGAGTACACGACAAGCCAGGTGCCACAGGTGCCACGTCAGCACCGCCAGCAGGGCGTGAGTCGCCACGCTTTTGAGCACAGTCAGCACCCGCACCCGCCACTGCAGCTTCTGCTGCCACTGCTGCAGCAGCTGCTGCTGCCCCCTCACCCTCTCCCCTTCCGTCCCTTCCACCGCCTCTGATTCCTGTGCTGGCCTTGCAGCAGCAGCAGTAGGAAGCTCTTGTGCTGTCATTGCTGCTCCCTCCGAGACGAAAGAAGAGGCCACCGCAGCAGTAGCTTCAGCAAACGAAGCAGAGGGAGGAATAGGCGCTTCACCGGTGTGTGCCGCAGGGGTAGTGGCTGGAGGCGGAGGGGTTTGCGGAGGGGTTCCTGGTGCTGCTGGTGCGGTGGATTGCAGTGCAGAGTGGCGGCGCATCAGCCAGGAGGGGCGGGGGCGCTTGTGACGAGGCGTGGGAGAGGAGGGCCCACGAGCGAGCGCTGCTGCTTCCTCCATGCTCTAATGAAAGTGAGTTTTGTGGGGGAATGGGGGAGAAGAGGCAACGACAGGAAAACATAGTGTGCCTGATAAGCGGGGCTGGGAGAGGAGGCGCTGTGGGAGAGCGCAACTGCTTCTTTATGCTTTGAAAAAACTGTGTTTTGTGGGGGACAGAAGAGAAGTGTCAAAAGAGACGAGAAAATTGTGTGTCTCAAAGCGAGGGTGGGAGAGGAAGGGTCGTGAGCAAGTGCTGCTTGGGAGTGGGAGTGAAAGAAATGAATAGATTGAGTACATGTGTGAGCAGGGTAAGGATGACGAAGGGAGAGAACGAATCAGGCGCCAGGGCTGCTGCTTCCTGCCTGTCCTGATGTGCATCGGTCGAGAAACAACGGGAGCGACCAGTCAAATGCAACGAGACAGTGTGTGCAGGCAATGTGGATTGTCAAATATTTTTTTCCTCCTTTGACGATCGACCTTGCCTGCCCAGGTAGGCCATGAGAGGTCAAGGCAAGGGGCGCAAGAGGCGCACGGTGTGTGTGTGTGACGCTCACATAGCTCAACAGCGGTTGCAGAATGAGCGCCAGCAGTGCTGCCAACACCGTTGCTGCCGCCAGCAGCCACAGCTGCAACTCATCCCCCCACTCCACCACCCCCCCTCCCATCCCCCCAGCTGCTTCCGCCCAGTCCCCCACGCCCTTCCCCTCCCCCTCCCCGCCCCCACCCCCTGCCTCCTCCGCCCATGCTCCCCCCTCTCCCCCCCCACTCCCCCCATCTTCCCCCCCTGCTCCCCACGCAGTGGTAGGGTGAAGGGAGGGGGAAGCGCGGAAGGGGGAGAGGGGAGTGTGAGAGTGTGCGAGGGAGAGGGAGAGAAGGCAGAGCGCTGACGTGGCAAAGAGCACCCTCAGAACCGCCCGCTCGACCATCGAACCCAACTGGGCAGGCGAAGGCGAGAAAACATTTCGGAGCTGCCCGATGGGCAGGAAGGTGAGGACAAGAGTGAGTGTGTAGGCGAGCGAGAAAGCAGCGAGGTGAGCTGTGCGGATGAGAGCAGGGACGAGGAGAGGAGGAGAGGAGGGGAGGGAGGAGAGGTGGGAGAGGAGAGGGATTGGCAGCACAAGGCGTTGGAACCAGAGAGGCAGGCGGGACATTAGAGCACTAGAGGGGAAGGGTGGGTTCACCCTCTCCCACTGCTCCCACTGCTGCATCTGCTCCTGCTGCTCTGCTCCCTCTGTCCCTTCTGCCTCTGCTGCTTCCCCTGTTGCTGTCTCTTTGCCGCCTGCCTTCTTAGGACGCATTGCATCCCGTACTGGCTGGAAGAAGCGCACTCCTTGCAGCTCCATCCACACCCCATCGCCCATCTCCCCTTCCTCCTCCTCGCCTCCCCCCTCCCTCCTCATTCCCTCCCTCATCTTCTCCCCAGCCCCCTCCACTGCCTCCCATCCCTCCCCGGCTTTCTCCCTCATCTTCCCACCCACCCTGCTGCCCTCTTCCCTCGCCTCTTCCCACGCCTTCTCAGCACCTTCCTTCACTTTCTCTCCCATCCTGCTGCCTCTCTCCCTCACCTCCTCCCATGCTACCTCAGCACCTTCCTTCACCCTTTCCGGCAATTTCTCAGCACCTTCCTTCACCTCCTCCTGCAACTTCTCCGCACCTTCCTTCACCTCACCCCGCAGCTTCTCCGCACCTTCCTCCACACGACCCTTTGCAGCATCCCACGCCTTCTCAACCTGCCCAACCACACCTTCCCCCACCCCCTGTCCCTCCCTCTCCCCCTCCCCCCCATGTTCCATCCTCACAGCCTCTGTAGCCACATCATACACAGGACCAAGGAAGGCCGTGGAAGGTGCAGGGGCGGCGGTGGATGTCGGTCCTGCCTCTTCATGCTTATGCTGATCCCCATGCCCATGCCCATGAGTGTGTGGCTGAAACCCCTCTTCCACCACACACCTCCCCACCCCCTTCACTCTCTCACTCACATCCTCTACAGCCTCCTCTACCCCCTCCACCACCTCCCTCACTCCCTTCACTGCGCCCTTCACTCCCCCTTCCACTGCCCCAACTGTTGTTTTCCCGCCCTCCCACACACTTTGACCAGCCTGCCTGCACCTATCAACCGCTTCCAGCCCAAGTTCCGCTGCCCGGGCACAAAATTCCACTGTTGTGTCCACAGCAGCCTGCCCGGCTCCGTGCGTTTTTTCCCAAGCTGCCTCAACCTTTTCTTTTGCTGCCAGACCGGTCGCGATCACAGCATCTCGGGCAGCCTCCGCATCTTCCCTGGCTGCCCGACCGCTCTCCACCACACGATCCAGAACACGCTGGCCAGCATCTTTCACCCGGGCAGCAGCGTACCTCGCCCGAACAGAAAGGAACTCTTCCGCGCCGACCACTTTCTGCCCGGCAGCCCGCAAGCGAGAGAGTAAGGAATCCGCCATGTCCCACACCTTGTCTCGTGCCACATCTCCCAACCCCTTGAGCCTCTGAGCAAGCCTGAAGCGCCTACCAGTAGCACCACCAGCAGCAACTCCCTCCCTTCCCTCCTCCCCTCCCTGTTCCTCTCCCTCCTCTCCCTCCTCTCCCTCCTCTCCCTCCTGTCCCTCCACTCCCTCCTCTCCTTCCCCTTCCTTTGATTCTGCACCCATCCCAGCACTTTCCACGCCCTCCTCCCCCCGCTCACCCATCATCACCACCACCGTTCTCACCACAGCCTCTGCCCTCCGCCTTGCCTCCTCACCCACTCTCCCCCCCACACCCACCTCAACGGCCCTCAACCCCTTCTCACCCCCCTTCTCAACCCCCTTCCCACTCTCCTCCACCTCACCAATCCCACCCACACTCTCCCCCCTCTCCCCCTCCTCCCCCCCAAAATGCAATACCATTTCTTCCTCCACAAGAGCAACAAAACTCCGGTCAGAAAAAGCTTTCTGAGCTGCCCGACCTGCCCGGCGCACGGAATCAAGTGAGGCGAGCAGGTGCTGGGCACGGGAGAAGGCGTCTGAAACTGCCTCCTCCACTGCTTTCTCCACTGCCGCATTCCACTCCTCCTCATCCCTCACCAACCCCCCCTCCTCCTGTTGCTGCAGCTCTGCCTGCCCCTGCCCCTGCGCCTGCTCCTGCTCCTCCTCCGTCTTTCCCCCAACACTCACATCAACGGCAGGGAGAACAACCCCTGCCCCGCGGCCGCTATGCGCGGCGCCAGATACAGCCTTCCCCAGTAGAGCCTCGGCAGGGAGGTCGGAGTGAGCAGGTGAAACCATGCGCAGGGACGGCTGGGCTGCTGTTGAGGGGAAATAGAGGAACGAAGGAAGGGGAAAGAGAGGATTGAGATGAGACGTGCAGGAGAGGACGAGTTTGGCTAGAGCAGAACGATTCATTCAGCACAGAAAAGAAGCAGCGAGAACAGATTTGAGACATGGAAAGTGGAATCTGTGTTCACAAATAAGAAACAAGCAAGTACCACACTTCAAACGCTTCACTCAGACAAACAGGAGTGGAAAAGAAAGGAGAAAAAAAAAAAAAAAAAAAAAAAAAAAAAAAAACCCTGTTCCTAACGAAATAGACACCTTGGAACAAGTGGAAAGGCGGAATCTTGCTTATCTGCAGCGCGGCCAGCCTTGCCTACCAGGAACGACCTTTGAGCAGAACACCAGCTTTTTACAACCAAACGAAAACCAATCCAGGCTCACTGCCTCTTGCACACAGTCACTGCCCAGACGCTCAAGTGCTGCCTATCTGTCCCTTACACTGCTGCTCTCGACACTCTCCTTGCAGTGCCTAAACTAGTTGTGTGTGCGCACAACAAATTAGCCGATCTTTTTTTAAGTTCGAGAACAGAAACCAGGACTTGAAAAAAACCAAGACACATTAATAATGGAAAACAAAACAAAACAAAACAAAACAAAACAAAACAAAACAGAACAGAACAGAACATAACGAAACGAAGACCAACTAGAAAACTAGCTGAAGGAAAGAGCCAGAAGCGGAACATCTGCGATGCATCTGAGAACTAGCGGTTACACAGGAACATACTTCACTTCAGAACCCGTACTTGATAATCAAGATCAAGATTCGCAGCAGCCAAGATTCACCACCAGCTGTACTGATGACTCACCGCCATCAGCTGCAAGGATGAAGGATGGCAGACCCAGGCGCTGCCTCCCCCCCACCCACCCGCCAGTGGCGCCCGCGCGGCCGATTGCGGACGGGACAAGCGCGGGGAGGAAGATTCGGCGGACCTCCCCCGGGAGCGCGAGGAGGAGGGGGGGCGAGTGCGGGGAGAAGAGGATGGCGGAGATGAGCGACGAGAGCAGGAAGAGCGCGGACGCCAGGAGAGAGGCCGCCATGGAGGGCGGGGAGCTTGCCGCCGAACGCGGCGGAAAGAGCGGAGGGAGGCTGATAAAGAGAAACCGCAGAGACTCTTAGATCGACTCTAAGGTCACCGGAGGAAGGGAGGTAATGAGTGGCTAGGAGTAGCTGACGGGCGAAGCGAGATTGGGTGGAGAACGGCCGTAGTGCCTTTCAAGTAGGAGGTGCGAAAGACCAGGATTGAGCGCGGCAAAACCCTTCTCTTCGGGACTTCAAACGCATACGAGACGCAACAGGTGAGATCGTCAGCAAGGTGGCAAGGGCGCCAGACATCGCATGGGAGACATTCATCCCGTCAGTTTCTTGCTTCTTGCGAGAAGCATCTCATCCATCGCGCGTTACTAGTTTCGCCGAACCGCCACTGCTCCATTCCACCCACCCCCTGCGGACTTCTCTGCAGCCTCGCCTCCCAGCTGCAGGGACCCGCGCAGCTCGAGTCCGCCGCTCTTGTTGGGACCGCGCGGGGGGGGAACTGCCTTTCGCTGGTCGCAAGCAGCCTTATCGCGTCGCACAGCCATCGCCGTTCTGCACAGCGCAGTCGCCAGGCGAATGTGGCTACATTGCTCTCAGGTATTGCGTCAGCGTCACTCTGGCCGCGTGGAGGAATTCACGCTGGGCCTTTGCATGGAGCCGGAGCACGCTGCTGGCTGCCTCGCGAGAATGCGACTCGGGATCTGGAGTCTCCTTGACTTCTGGTGTGGCAGGCATGCTGTGCTCCTCATGCCACGTGTTGCTAAACTGGAATGTGGGAGCATTGATAACATTGATAACATTGCTAAACCCTCATGCCACAGATAACAAGGGTTGTAACATTGATCTCCAGTGAAGCTTAGAAAGTTATACATAAATTGCACAAATCGTGCACACCTTTGTGTGCAAATTTGAAATTCCCAATAACGGCTGATTGTTCGACACAATAATGAAAACAATAGTGTGGGAGATCGGTTTCCCTTACGCTAGCAGCATGGCGTCGTCGCATTCAGTGCTCGCAAGCAACCTCATGCATCCTCTGAATCAGCAGTTGGTGCTTTTCACTTTTCTTTTCTTCCTTGCTCTCAGCACCATCTTCTTCACTGTATCCTCGTCTTCTTTGGTGCACAAAGAGGCATCCACATCTGCTGCACCGGATTCGATAAGGCTGTTAGAAAATTTGGTATCAGTAGGAAGGTGGAACGAGGTGTATTCGTCAATTTTGTGCTGCTTCCCCTTAGTTGACCGTTTCCTCTTTGCAGTTGAAGTTCTCTTCTTGCTTGATTGTGCCACAGGAAGAGAATCCTGCAAAATCAGAAAAGTGAGATTCAACAGCAATCACCCAAACTGGAGGTATGGCCTGCGCTCGGATAACCTACCTCGAGCGCTGGTGGGCTCGGCAACATACTCATGAAGTCTCCTTGACTTGTTTTCCAATTTTGATCATTCTGTAATGACATTGGCCACATCTCCCCGGTAGTCTCGTGTCGAGGATTGCTCAGACAGATGGGGCTGCCAGATATGACACAGGTGAGGCATGCGAAGGCGGAAATCGATCGAAACGGAAGAAAAAAGTCCAATGACCTCCCACCTTAACTGCATTCATGGTTATGATTCTTGGTCACCTGTGAAACAACAGTGTGAGCAAGCAACAAGGCATGACGGGTACATAGCAACAAGATAAAAAACCTGTGTTACCTGCATGAAGTCAGTCATCTTCCCTTCAGGCCTCCTTTTTATTTGACCATGGCCATTAACATGACGCTGAGGATGTTCTCGCGTGTCAAACATTGGTGAAATATTCAGCTCCTTGCCTTCGAATTCCTGAAAGGTTCATAGTTATCGCATCTTCCAAAACGAAAAGTTAAACGAAATTCTCTTACACGCTGTTGATTCCGCAGCATGGTTGTCATGTTCTTCATCATGTCCGAACGAAGCTCTGTCATGCCTTTTTTAACTGCAGACTCCACCTGTTTCCAAACGCAAAAGCCTCAGCAATATGCAATCCGCAAGCATCACAGGACCGACCTACCGTCTGAATGATGAGCTGTCGAAATCGGCCCTCTTGATCTTCACCTGCAGGACAACAGGTCAAGCATATTAGCAGGTTGGCAGTCCATGTTCTAGCAACAGCTTCAACAAAGCATACGTGAGTGGTCATTCAAGTGTCCCAAGTCGGCCTTCATCTGCGAAACGTCCTCTGCGATTCCAACAATTCGGTTGCACAGACTCTCGACCTTATGGTTCGTTTCCTCACTGCAATCTGCTCACATTGCATCCGATGTTTGAGAAATCTCCCCATAATTAGCCATTGTCGAAACCAATGTGAGCGACTCACTGCAAGGCGGCATCAATCTCTGAAGTGAATTCGTCAAGTTGGAAAATCCCGAACTCTTTTCCTGTCCATTTTTCACGCGCAGCAGGGGCTGCGACGAGTACTTTTGAAGAGAGACCGACGGTTGCGCCGTCCCCTGAGTCACCTGTCGCTGAGAGAGGGTTTTTATGCGGAGAATTTCTATCAGCAAACCATCGTAAATTCAAAATTCAAGTATCACAAACCTGAGAGCCTTGTGAGGCGCTTGGGTATGATTGTGATATGCTTTGGGAGAATTGGCTGGCGTGCGCCATGTACTTCGACGATGGCATACCGAAAGCAAATGAGTCGGACGCGTTCGTCACTCCAGGTGAGGACCTACGAGAAACAGATTCATCAGCAGCTGTATCCAACAATGCGAGAACTCTTTCTTCGTGTCAAATAAACCCACCCCAATGCTCCCCCATATTTAGTCGCATTCTCCGTCTCATGTCTGTTAACCAAGAAGCGTCTCATTCTGCCTCCTTCGAGATGCAATGGCTAATTCCGTCTACTTGCTGAGATGGCTGATTACGACTTCTCGATGTTATGGCTGGTTGGTTACGTTTCAGGACTAAAAGACGAGCTCTACCTCAAAAGGGAGTCCCTGAAATTGGAAAATATATCCGTTGCCAAGGCTCTGCTGGGTACTCGCAAGGCAAACGCTTCGACACAGCTTTGATCTGTCGACCCACTCCCATCAACCGACGCAAAACACTCCCGCGTTCTATTCTACAACATAAAGATTCTCTCCCTAAAAGGCAAAAACATTGCTCGTTTTCATTGCATTGTAATAGTAGGGCCTAGAATGGAATTAGTGTGCCATAAAACTTCATAAAGTATGAATCAAAGTAATCAACGGGGCGAGGGTTGAACACCAAACTGTCAAATAGTACTTAGGAGATTAGGAGCTTGGAGGGAGAGAGTAGCATAGCGAGATGGATATCGAGGGAGTTTGGGTTGGCCAAAGAGGTTCAATAATGAGAAACAGTACAAGGATATAGGCAAGGAAAAGAGAGGGTACACCACCAACAGTTGATGCTAATAACTAAACTAGTACACTAGCTAGCTGTAGGCAGTTATAAGATATGCAATATAATTCAACACACCCCCGTAACTGCCTACGGCTGTAGCTAGTGGTGTCTGGCACCAGGTCGCCTGGAGAGCGGTTGCTGTAGCTGGGATAGGCACAGAAACAGCGGTGGCTGACCGGCAGCACCTGTGAACGCCAGAACGGAGGTGGGCGCGGAGAGCGCGGAGGAGGGCTGGGATAGCCGGAGGGCGAAGGATGCTGGTCGCTCGCCATCTACGAGCAAACACAACTGTTGGTGAGGAGGAGGAAACTGGTGGTGGTGCACAGGAGGAGATGCGGCTGGAGGAGAGGAGATAGGAGGAGGAGATGCGGCTGGAGGGAGGAGAGAGGAGGAGGAGATGCGGCTGGAGGGAGGAGAGAGGAGGAGGAGATGCGGCTGGAGGGAGGAGAGAGGAGGAGGAGATGGTGCAGCGGAAGGTAGAGGGAGGAGGTGCGGCTGGGGCTGCCTTGTCAAACCCGCCACCCCCACATCCCTTCTCCCCCCCCCCCAACGCGGCACGCCCAGCAGATGCGGTGCAGCGAGGAGGAGGAGGATAGGGGGGTTCAAGGGGGGCTTTAGTACCCCCGGAGCCTCGCCTGCCAATCCCGCCAAC